CACACACACACACACACACACACACACACACACACACACACACACACACACACACAATCAATCAACCAAATCAATCAATCAATCAATCAACCAAATCAATCAATCAATCAATCAACCAAATCAATCAATCAATCAATCAACCAAAACCAATCAAGATCCTATCTAATCGATAGGATCCTGATTGGTTTGATTGATTGATTGATTGATTGATTGACTGATTGATTGATTGATTGATTGATTTGATTGATTTGATTGATTTGAGATTTGATTGGTTGATTGATTGACTCTCTCTCTCTCTCTCCCACACACATACACACCAACACACACACACACACACACAAGAGGACACACACCAACCCCACCCTGACCCCTTTTTTTCTTTATTTGTTTTCAATTTTTGCATCTTATTTTTCTTTAAACACCCAATTTCCCGACACAAACCCGGAAAACATTTCTAAAAAAATACAGGACAACTCAGCGACGATGTCCCTCATGATAAAAAATGACAAAAAAAAACATGGTAACCGACCGGACGTCCGTACCGGTTTCCAGACAACGCCAAACATTTTGCAAGGGTCCGATGTCCGGTCTTGGACGTCCGGAACGGCCCCCCCCCCTGAAAATTCGAAAAAAAAAGGGGCCTCGTAGGCCCCTGAAAAATGCCACGCCGATTTTTTGGCTTTTTTTGGTCCTATCGGACACAGGTCGAAGGCCGGACCCGCCACAGTCTGTGCAGACCTAGGTGGGGTGGCGGGAGGCAGGGCCAGCATTTTCGAAGTTCAAACTTCGAACTGGCCGTTTTTCGAGTCTGGAGGGCGTGCTGTTCGGAAGCCGTCGGCTGCTGCCCGTCGCATCTCCCCTGCAGCCCCTCGGCCATCGCCGACGAAACACGAAGCTGCCACGAGCGTCCAAGAACATCAAGCGGCCGCCATCGTCCAGCCCTCGCCGCCGTACCAGCCAGCATGCTCAGGGGAGCAATGCGCAGCAGACCAAGGATCCGCAATGTGATGAAAAGAACTGAGATGGGCAATGCAATGTCAGCGAAGCATCAACAAGCAATGTACATCCCGATACATACAAAATGGCACAAATGGCACAGCGGAAGACTTCCAAGAGAAGATCTGATCAGACGTGGACTAACCCGACATCCATCACACATCACACGTGGGCGAGAGAGGAGGGACCGCAATCATGGAAGGAAGGTCCCTCCTTCGTACACGCACATGGGGAGAAACCACGGATGAGAGATGGGGGAGGGACAGTCGAAAGAGGGAGAAGGCGAGAGAGTAGACCAAGATCGCAATATCGAAGTCCAAAATAGTCTCTTGCCGAATGTCCAAACAATGTCTGTCTTAGAAATGGCGAATCAGATCCTGGGCAATGCGCCCGTTACAACCCCAGCCTGAATCCCTACTGATAACCTCTCACACTCTCAGATTTGAAGAAGAAGAGATAAGAAGGAGGAAGGAGAGAGAGAGAGAGAGAGAGAGAGAGAGAGAGAGAGAGAGAGAGAGAGAGAGAGAGAAAGAGAGAGAGAGATGGAGGAGGTAGAGAAGAAGGTGAAGCCCTCCTCGCTATCTCACCTGCAGGTAGCTGTCACTGAACTGACGTCGTCCATTGCTGTGTGCAGGTACCGCGTGGCGTCCAGCTATGGCGCAGGTAAGCTCGCCGCTCGCAGGTATGGCCTCCGCCACTCCCTATCTCCTCTGCGTTCTACTCCCTACTCCTCTACCTAGCGCAGCATAGCGCAACCTCCAACCAGCAGCATGTCGCTCACAAGTGAGCGACCCGCACTGTCCTTTGCCCAGCTACTGCCCAGCTATATGTAGTGCTGGGCCGCTGGGCCTACCTGGTACTGTGTGGCCTAAAACTCCCGGGTGGTCTGGATCCCTACCGGACGTCCAGACCCTGCTGCTGCTGTAGCGTGGCGCAGAAATGCACCTGGCCTAAGAACGGCCGTCTACTGGTGCACTTGGCCCAAGGTGCTATCTTGGGTCCTGCACGACCGAAACGACGCCAGTTTGGCGCCAAAATGCGCCTGGCCTCGTTTCGGGCCTGCCTCCGGTGTACCTGGTCCCAAGGTCTGGCCTTGGGGCTGCAAGTCCGAAACGGCACCTGAACAGACAAAAATAAGACAACACACATACACCAAAAAAAGGTAAGTAAAAGAAAACCCACCTACTTATTGTGCTGCCTAGGGCCTGGAGGGCCGCCGTGGGCCTCCAGGGCGCGTGCTGGAAGGTACGCGGCCTGGGGGCCCCTCCGCAACCGTTGGGCCAAACAAATGGGGCCCATGTGCAGGCTCAGCATGCAACACCCCCCCCTCCTTATGAACTCAAGCCGGTCGGGGGCGAAGCTGACGATCTGAAGGCGGTACTTGGACGCGTGTGCGTCGTGGGGCCGAAGTTGCCAGCTTGCCTTTCAACTTCTGTTCGTAGCGTGCGAGCGCATCGGGCGCTGTTGCCTGAAGTTCTACACGAGTCAGCCGTCGGTCAGCTCTATGGGTGCAATATGCGAAGTGGACCAAAAATTCAGTCGGCCTGTTTTCATAACGTCGCTGGGATATGATGTCGCCAACCTCTTGGAAACCGTCCATCGAGGGTGGGTCTTGTCATCGTCGACCGGGAAAGTCATCAAGTTCTGCTGGCGTGTAGAGGGTCAACTTGAAACAGTGAAAGACCGGGTTGACTCGCAAGTGGGCGAACACCTTAATACTGAATGAAGGTCCTTCGGGTGCGTCCCCAGCGGGTGCCTCGATCGGCCAGGGCCCCATCCATTTCGGAAGGAGCTTGCGAGAGATGTCTTGTTCGAGGCTGAATTCTGCAGCGGAAACCCATACGAGGTCGCCGGCGCGGAATGGACAAGAAAGAGGCGGTTGGCCTGTTGGCGCATACGTTGCTGCGTCTTTGCCATCTGGTCACGTGCCTTGACAAGAAGCTCTTGCATATGACGAATGAAGAGGAGGTGGTCGTCGCTCTCGGCCGTCCATGGAAGGATTGTGTCCAACGGAGAATTGACCGGCGAGCCATGCTCGAACTCAAACGGCGATATCCCGATAGTCGGATGGATGGACGAGTTGTATGCCAAATCGACATCCGACAGCCGCTTAACCCAATCTTTCTATTCGGGACGGATGATAGTTCGAAGGAGGACCTGTGCGGTCTGATGTGCCCTCTCCGTTTGGCCATCGGTTTAGGGGTGGCGAGCCGAACTTGGCTTGAGGGATGAGGCCCATCGCTTGATGAGCGCCAACCAAAAATCGGACATGAGCCGAGTGTCGCGGTCGCAGGAGATCTCCTTGGGGTAATTCTTGGTTCGAATCCAACTGGCGTAGAGAATCTCAGCCAACTCCGGTGCCTTGGCGTGATAGCGACAAGGCAAGAACATGGCAAACTTGGTGAGGCGGTTGACCATCGTGAGAATCCCATCGACGCCCGTCTTGTGCTTGGGGAACGGCCCGGTGATATCCATGGCAATCGCTTCCCTTCGGCGCAAGGGGACCGGCAACGGTCGCAGTTCGCCATAAGGACAATGATTGCGAGGTTTGCAATGTCGGCAAACTTCGCATGACTCGCAATAGAGCATGACATCGTGGAGGAGACCCGGCCACCAAAAGCGCTCGCGTAGTCGGCTAATCGTGCGATTGACTCCAAAATGTCCGGTGGCGGGGGCATCACAGGTACTTCCCGTCTGCATGGAAGCTGACTCTTTGATTTCATAGCTGGGAAACTTACTGGTGGTTCACAAGGATCTGAGGTCTATGGATAGTGTTACGGTGTCACCACTGCGTTGACAGACCTTATAGATGCGCGACCTTATATCTTTTTTTTTTTTTTTTTTTTTTTTTTTTTTTTTKTTKTTKTTGTTGTTGTTTGCTGGTGGGCACAGCCACCCAGCTTGGTGCATACGAGCTTGTTATATAAGATCTTTWTTCCCAGGCAATTTTGAGCTCTCATATCTCATGCTTTGGTTGTCACCTCTATGTGCTGAAGCTTGTCTCTCCCTGTGACATGAGATGCTGGTTTGAGGTCTGGGCTCACTGCAATACATTGATAACTATTGACTTATTTCCAGCAGAAAAATTCACAGAAATGGTCCCACCATATTTACAGCATTCTGACCAGCATAGCACGACTCCGCTGGCTTCAGATGCCTCCCCCCAACCCCCAACCAACATACTCGTAACAGAGCACAAGAACAATGACCACGACTCACTAGAGTGCCTGCACAGCTGCTGGCCGAAGTCCCATGGTTCCCGCTGCATTGCTTGTCGCGTCACTTGCCAACCCTCCCCACACGCATTTGATATTACAGCAATGCTTGAGCATATCCAGGGCATCTTGTTTGCGACCCCGTGAGAGTTCTACACATACAACAGCTAAAATAGGTATAGTGGATTCGTTGGAGAAACTTTCAATGCTTGCAAGGCACATTGCTGCGCCTGTAGCAGCTCACCTTGCATTGCAGATAGTGCTGCAAGGTTGACATACAGTGCTGCATGAGATGTAGTTCCTGACAGAGCGCCTGGTATATCCCCAGCATTGGCAGTACCACTACTGGCAATACCACCTCCTGCCGCAGAGCTAGCAGAGCTCCTCCTCCCAGTTCCTGWTGTGATATCACTGCCATCTGTGCTGGCCTCACCGTATTCAACTGTTTTCCACTTCCGTCCATTCTCCTCCTCCGTTTCCACATTTCCACAGTTGGAACCGTGTGTCGTATCCATTGAGTTTGTGTGTTCSAGCATGCATGTAGTCAGATGCTCTGCAGCCACAGTTGGCCCATCAAGCATGTACAATGCCTCAGCTGCATACATGTGACCCAGAACAAGAATCAAACGGAATTAGGAATCCTTGTCCTTCCTGTTCCTCTCCAAATGCTTCCTGACCGCTACAGCCTTCTTGATCAGGTGGTAGAGATCTTTCCGGGATTTCCCCGGGCCGAGCCCATGAGCCTTCACGATACGAAGCACCTTACTCCGAGTAATGCTCCTCACCTGAGCAATACCTGTTGTATATCCACAAAATTGTGTGGTGGCCAATGTTCGGTCATGGTCACCAAAAAGAATCGGTGGGGGGCCAAAATATGTCAGGTATGGCCAAACGGTCACAAAKATGCCACAGTCTACTWCCCCTGAGGTGGCATGCAATACCACTAGTAGGCTGACCGAGGGTGAGCGCACACTAGCACTATTTTAAATGTATCTGACCGCATCTACGGCCGGACCTGTATGCATCTGGCCGCAATTCCCTCCACAAATAAGTACAAGTAGTACTGATAGCCTGTGACAGGTGAAGGACCCCCTCCTTCGGGACAGGAGCTACATTGCTCAGAGGAAAAGGGTTGGGGGAGAACTTGGGACTGATGGTTGGCACCACCAGTACCCCAGGGGGTCTAAGTCCCCCGCTGCGGAGGCTCTGACGCAAATGAACATGGACCCGCGCGCGGCGCACCGATTACGTGGAGGTCTTTGTCACCAGTGCCCCAGGGGGTCTTAGGCCCCCTCTGTGGAGACTCTGACGCAAATGCGCATGGACCGGCGTGGCGCACGAATTCTGTTAACGACCTAAAAAACGTGGAGGTATTCCGCTGGTTTTGGATGAACAGGCAGACGCCATAGAGGACAAGAATGAGGTGAGACAAGACCTGGAAGGTATGATGATGATGATATGGTAAGAGGGGCGGCAGCTCAATCAGCACGGAATAATTCAACCCACTAGGCTACCTCAGGTGAAATACATTATACCTTTCTCGGCCTTCTGGCTAAGATCAAGACTTAATGCAGGTCCTTCGTGACATCCGTCAAAATTGGAACGATACCCAAGAGCCTAGCTCAGTGGGTACAACGCTGAATTCTGTTGAAATACAGACCTCTGTTTGAATCCCGATGATGGAACTTGATGAATAAAACCAACTACTAATGAATTGCCTGGGGGGGTGACCCGTCGGCTCAATGATAATATCTTAAGGCCGTTGCCCTTTAAAAAAAAAAAACCTGATCTGTGAGGGGTATCCAGAGGACTATCACAGTCCGTTGGCACTAAGTGCACCACAGACGGCCATGGGGCTTGAACCCACAACCTCCTGAATGCCAAGCCCCACACCTCCTGAATGCCACTTGCATGCTTAACCAACTGAGCGGGGTCTCTGACCAACACGGGTGTGAGTGTGAGCGCCAGTGGCTTCTGTGTGGTGTGTGGGAGAGTGTTGGCCATAGCCTCTGCTGCTACTCGATGAAGGGTGGGGGACGATGAGAAAGGGAGGCACAGCTACTGGCAGGTCTCGGTCTTCGTGTTAGCCAGACCCCCAGTGCGGCCGCAACCCTATACCCTAACCATTAGGGGCAAGGGGCAACATGAAATCTCCCCTTCACAGAGAGAGAAAAACTATGCTTGCAGGGGTCCCCTCTAGATAGTCTTAGGAGTAGGTTGTGGAAGGCAAAGAAACAGAAGTTGAGAGAAGAGTATAGAAAGAAAAGAAAAAAAAAATCTGATCTGTGAGCCTTGGGGCCACAATTCCCAAATAAAGGGAAAAAAAAAAAAAAAGCAGACAACCCTCAGGGCCTCAGCCGTTGAAATACAGACCCACGTTCTAATCCTGCTGACCTATATGAAGGCGATGAAATGATTCTGAATTACCTGAGGCGGGTGAACTAGATGGTGATATCTCAACTAGATGGTGATATCTCAAGGCCAACACACTTCCTGGGCTTACTCGGCACCCGCTACCCAAGAGATAGACCACTGGATCCCCCGATCGGCATCAAGCAGAGTCTGCTATGTTCGTAGGGGAGGGACGGGGGATTGGTCCGCTTTATCCCTGGTGCTACGGGCGGTCCCCTGGCCGGTATCCTGCAGGCTCGAGGGGCCGTAAAAACACGGCTCTGGTATGCTACGGGTTTCCCCGTATGCCTAT